CCACACAGACACAGTAAGTTCTTAGACGTTAGTGTAGGACTATTTAACTCATTGCAATTTATAGTTCGTTCTTAACTGTTTGAATTTAGTTTTTTTTTCTGTGCACAGTTCTTTGTTACAGCCTTTTTGATTTCAATGTTTACACTTCACAATACAGTACGCCTTTTGTAGTTCACATCAAAAATAGTTTTTTGCAGTTAACATTTCTTTTTTTGGTGACGTAGTTCACTTTCCACTGTCTGCAGTTGCAGTTCACATTTCGTCGGTTTGAAGAAGCGAGCCCAATTTTGATGTTTTCAATTCGCATTTTACTTTTGTATTTTAGATTTCGTTGTTTGTAGTTCACACTTAGTTTTTTCCAGTAATTTCGCAGTTCGCAGCTAGCACACGCACTCAGCGGTGTTTCCCAACGCAATTTCGTATGCAAGTGAGACTTGGTTATTCAATAGATTTCGCAGTACATTCCCCAGTGACTCGGGCCCGGTAAGGAATCCCGGCTATGCGGCCCGACTACAAGGTCAGTCTAACCCTACGCGTTCAGGAATGCTAATCAGCCAATGAAACTTGCATAGTCCTTGCACGCCGGGCGACTATTGATGGATCGGTTGGGTTATAACAATCACGGCGTAGACGCAGGGCAAGACCTTGAGGGTAAATTCAGTCAAGGATTGAAACAGGCAACGTTGAAGAGATTGAGGTTTGTCTAGGAATTTACATGAAGAAATAACTAGTTGAAATTGTTATCCCATTCAACATTTATAACTTTCTATTCCTAACGGGGAAATAGAAACACTGTCCAAAACCCTTTTTATCGATCAATACTAAACTCTGAAAGATCAACCTCAGGCAAACAATGATGTTGTCACGAATCACGTGACTTCATATAGAATTTTATCTCGTCCGTGCCTCGTCGTACTACGATATTCTCGTCGCTACTCGTCGTTATAGTATTTGCGAGTGTTCTCTGTGCAATACTAGCTCTATAACGATTTTATTTCAGAATTATACATTAATGACAACGTTTTTTCTGAGAACTATAGTTCTCATATATATAGTAGCCTAATTGAGATTCTCGATCATGTGGAAATGGAAGATTCCAGAACTCACATTAACGAGATTGAACTGAAGGATCTCTTTAGTTTGTATGTCTTGTTGGCCAACATATTTGCCGTGGTTACTTTTACCAGGTCTACGGATTGCACGAAGAAGGAGATGTAGTATAGATGGAGGATGGAGATTACGAGTAGAAGTAGTTGAGGAGAAAGCCACGAGGGATTATTACTGGGCCGGCGCTGGGCGTAGTTTTATGGAATACCCTGTAATCTCGTCGTCCCATCTCACAAGGCTACCGTTCATTTGTGAGCCGCAGTCAAAAATCAGATAGTCGGGTCGTCATCACAGCCTACGGAAACTATCAGGATAGACTTCTCAGTATCACTTGTATTGTAAAAATTACCCAACAATACACAAACAAATCACTCCATAACGGTGAAACACGACGGTCAGCTCATTGTTTAGATTTGCAGTATATCGCAACATCACTCAGCTCATTGTCCAACGATGCAGAATATAACAACATATCACTCCTCAGCTCATTGTCCGTTATTTCATAATATAACAACATATCACTCCTCAGCTCATTGTCCGTTATTTCATAATATAACAACAAATCACTCCTCAGCTCATTGTCCATTATTTCATAATATAACAACAAATCACTCCTCAGCTCATTGTCCATTATTTCAGAATATCACAACATATATTACTCCTCAGCTCATTGTCCAGCATTGCAGAATATCACAACATATTACTCCTCAGCTCATTGTCCGTTATTTCATAATATAACAACATATCACTCCTCAGCTCATTGTCCGTTATTTCAGAATATCACAACATATTACTCCTCAGCTCATTGTCCATTATTTCAGAATATCACAACATATATTACTCCTCAGCTCATTGTCCAGCATTGCAGAATATCACAACATATTACTCCTCAGCTCATTGTCCGTTATTTCATAATATAACAACATATCACTCCTCAGCTCATTGTCCGTTATTTCAGAATATCACAACATATTACTCCTCAGCTCATTGGCCAGCATTGCAGAATATAACAACATATATTACTCCTCAGCTCATTGTCCAGCATTGCAGAATATCACAACATATTACTCCTCATCTCATTGTCCGTTATTTCATAATATAACAACATATCACTCCTCAGCTCATTGTCCGTTATTTCAGAATACCACAACATATATTACTCCTCAGCTCATTGTCCAGCATTGCAGAATATCACAACATATTACTCCTCAGCTCATTGTCCGTTATTTCATAATATAACAACATATCACTCCTCAGCTCGTTGTCCGTTATTTCAGAATATCACAACATATTACTCCTCAGCTCATTGTCCATTATTTCAGAATATCACAACATATATTACTCCTCAGCTCATTGTCCAGCATTGCAGAATATCACAACATATTACTCCTCAGCTCATTGTCCGTTATTTCATAATATAACAACATATCACTCCTCAGCTCATTGTCCGTTATTTCAGAATATCACAACATATTACTCCTCAGCTCATTGGCCAGCATTGCAGAATATAACAACATATCACTCCTCAGCTCATTGTCCGTTATTTCATAATATAACAACAAATCACTCCTCAGCTCATTGTCCATTATTTCAGAATATCACAACATATATTACTCCTCAGCTCATTGTCCATTATTTCAGAATATCACAACATATATTACTCCTCAGCTCATTGTCCAGCATTGCAGAATATCACAACATATTACTCCTCATCTCATTGTCCGTTATTTCATAATATAACAACATATCACTCCTCAGCTCATTGTCCGTTATTTCAGAATATCACAACATATTACTCCTCAGCTCATTGGCCAGCATTGCAGAATATAACAACATATCACTCCTCAGCTCATTGTCCGTTATTTCATAATATAACAACAAATCACTCCTCAGCTCATTGTCCATTATTTCAGAATATCACAACATATATTACTCCTCAGCTCATTGTCCAGCATTGCAGAATATCACAACATATCACTCAGCTCATTGTCCAGCATTGCAGAATATAAGATATCACTCAGCTCATTGTCCAGCATTGCAGAATATCACGACATATCACTCAGCTCATTGTCCAGCATTGCAGAATATCACGACATATCACTCAGCTCATTGTCCAGCATTGCAGAATATCACAAGATATCACTCAGCTCATTGTCCAGCATTGCAGAATATAAGATATCACTCAGCTCATTGTCCAGCATTGCAGAATATAAGATATCACTCAGCTCATTGTCCAGCATTGCAGAATATAAGATATCACTCAGCTCATTGTTCAGCATTGCAGAATATCACAACATATCACTCAGCTCATTGTCCAGCATTGCAGAATATAAGATATCACTCAGCTCATTGTCCAGCATTGCAGAATATCACAAGATATCACTCAGCTCATTGTCGAGCATTGCAGAATATCACGACACGATACATGACTGAGCTCATTGTCCAGCATTGCAGAATATAAGATATCACTCAACATATTGTCCAGCATTGCAGAATATCACGACATATCACTCAGCTCATTTTTCAGCATTGCAGAATATCACAACATATCATTCAGCTCATTGTCTAACATTGTAGTTCATCACAGCTAATCCCCTAACTGTCTATAATTGGAGTTTACATCACATCATTTAACTCATTGTTCCAAAGCTCAGTCAAGTCATAGACAAATAGAAATTAATAGCTAACCATTACTGAAATCCCATTTATTGCTAAACTGAATCCAGTGTTGCTTATACTATTAGCTGAATATACAGGGATTTCTATAAACTAGGTTCTGTACTCCTGGTAATGGGGAAAAATTAATGGGAGTTTGGGAACAATTCATACCGACTTAACCCCCTTTACTACATATAGATCATTTTGTTCTTCTTCAACCTATTATTGTCTTTCAATATTTTGCAATCAATCTTTTTATGACACCGGGTATGTGTATTAAGGTAATGGAACACCTTGGTGTGTATTCTATTTTGGAACACTTTAATAGAATTTTGTTACTTATAAGTTATAAAATTACTCAAAATTACTTATCTATATAGGCCTACTTATTTAATACGCAAGCAGGTTTTTTGTGACAATTACTCCTCCGAAACTACTGAACCGATTTACATGTTCTTGGTGTCATTGGAAAGAGCGTAACGTGAAGTTGTGCAGGAAACTTTCTTTTTAGGGAAATAATTTAGAGGGTGAGGCCCTGGGGCCCTTTAAAGTTGCGTATTTCTCCATAAGATTAACACGGGAAACAAATATTGCTATGAAACTCCAGCTGTTGTCAGAAATTAAAAGTGAGAAGAAGAACATTATGTTGATTGTAACCTGTCAATAAGTTTGCTAATTTACCAGTTATTTGCTACAAACATTTACTTGGTTGAAATGAAATAGTTACTATTTGAATTTGGGTTGATGTAAATATTACAATGGAAAAAAACGAGAGAGCCTGGATAAATTGATATACTAAAAAAAATTGAACTAACACTGTGCTGCATTTCTTAATAATTATTGAAAGACCCAATTTGCAAACTATGGAAATATCGGAAAGTCATAGAAAACAACCAAGGAGAAAAAAAAGAAATAATGTTTTTTTAAATTTATAATCGTTATTATGGACAACCTAATGCGGCTATTGAGTAAGGCTATTTGTAGAAAACACTAAAAAAAACAATATCAGCTTTTGAAAAATGACAAGATATTTACCGTACAAGAAATGTTGATTATATCGACCTGTTATGTACGCATCTTGAGTATTTCCATAATATTTGAATTGAATCTTTTATTGAAAGTCATCAGAAATTATGACTGTTAGTCGTTTTAAAATAACGCCTGAAATTCTTAGCAATTGCTCGAATTCGAGCAACAGGGACACTAGTAAGTTATAATGAAATGTTGTTTTACAGATGGAGAGTATTTGTTTGCTGACCCGGACTACAAGCTGTCTAAATATGCCCCTAAAAACTGGCGATCTTCGTCCACCAATGTAAGTACAGCATAAATATATAATTCAAAAACATATTTTTCATAAATTAAGACTGTTTCTTATTTCTCTGTGTCTGCAGTAAACTTAAATCTTGATAATGAGCGGAAAATTTGACTATTCACAGAAATATACTATCTCATTCCCATGTGTCAAGGCTGTACTTATAATAACACAATGGTTAAATTCAGCCACCAACAGTCTAATTGTATAATTTATTTTACCATTTTCAGCCTTGAAACATAGGATTGATGACCTGTAGACTTGTTCACCATGCAGTACCATGTTATAGCTTTATTATGAGTCTGGTTTAGCATATTGTGTCATTGATCTAATAGTTTTGTTTACTTACACAAGTAGTGTTGTTTTGCTGCACAGTCTTGTTTCGTGACATGTTTATTGTTTTCCCAACTGATTAATATCTTCTTGTGTTTAGTACAAAAGTAAATGTAAGTAAAACTGACAAGACTTATTACGTATTGTGTATTTTTTAAGATACCTAATTAAATAAGAAATTAGGATTGAACTAATTATAAATTGAAGTACCAGGAGGACCCAGCATTGCTCGGCTTTTCAACACAATTAATTCAATGGTTCCACCGGTTCACTATTACTCCCTACCTCCATTTGTAAGGATAGCATCTCACTGTCCTCCAATCATAAATTAAAATCCTCTTTGGTTTAAGGTTTGTTTATGATCAGCTGTTATATTTATTTATTTTTGTTTCTTGATGTTTAAAATTTGTGTTGTTATTTCGTTGCTAAAGTAGTAACCTATAAAGGCTCAGTGAAACATTTTTTACTTTTGATTAATTTTTTTAAGTATTTAGATTTTTGTTGGCAGTTTTAACTGCATGAAATATGATTTTGGGCCAGGGATAAATCATCTATAACATTTGAAGGAAAGATGTCGATGCCGGTTTCGAGATCTTTCTGCAAGCGAAAAGCAAGCATGCATACAAAGAAACATAGCTTATATCCTATAGGATTGCAAGGTTGGCCGATGAATAAATATTTAGTATCTCAGAATCCACTAACATTCCATCTTAAGTAGTTTTTTTTAGTAGCCCTTAGTAAACCAACTTTAAAGAAAATTTAAACTGTATTGGACAGAAATCGCAATATTAATTAGAACATTGTCAGTTGATCTAAAGTTTTGAGGATAATCAATTGGTTTCAAATCTAAAGGTACATTCCATTTTCAAGTAAACTACCAAGCTTTATGAATAATTTTGTACAACGTTTTTGTGTGTTTGTAAGCCTGCTTTATATGATTCTCTACCGCCCTGTTGATACAAATTATTATTTATTTCCTTATATTGAACTTGAGAGTGAATCTTAAGGTTTGAAACCTGTTTTTTCACTATCTTTTATTGTTTAGCTGTGCAGTTGGAAGTAAAATTTTAAAAGTATACTTTGTAAACCAATGTAAATAACCAAAGTATATTATAAAGCCACAAATAAGTTCATTCCACCTTCAACAGACTTATAATTGTTGTATCAAACTCACACGGATTGTTTTGATCAGTCCTAAAAAACAAAGTTATTAAAAGTACTTTGACTTTTTCTCTTTGCGCTTCAAAGATTCATTACGATAAAAGTTTTAAGTCCCGTAGTTATGGCAAGTCATTAACCGTCGGATTCCCTAGTCGATTGAAGGATTTTGCAATCCACGGCGGGACGGAGCTGAATGGGCCGCTTTGTTCCCCATATTTGGTCACTGCCGCGCCCTCAAGACCAGTTTTTTATCACCGGCACATACAAGCATTCACATGTGCGCTTTTTGTTTATGAAAAGCCGACTATTTACCTTTATATTCTCCCTTGGTTTCTTCTCCAGATTTTCCTTGTGACAATCCAAGTGTTGACATGCAACAATTTCATTGGTATTGAGACATATTATAATTTCGGTAAAAACAAAAGCATTATTGGGAAAATTATAAAATTTCCCAATTTTTACCAGTCGAGTAGATTGAATAAATTTGGATGCTACTGCTCTTTATTATCTACTATATTGATATGCTGAAAATGGTAGGCTTATGGTAACTCGTTGAACTGTAAGCAATTAGGCTTGGCACCAAATTTGTGCCATTAGAGCACCCGATGTAGTTTTGCTAAACAAAATATAAATTTAAGAACTGACTGCAAATTCTGATACAGTTCAAATATGATACTTGTACACAAATTGGAGTACATTTTAAACTCAATTGCGAATAAACTGGATGTGAAATGTGCCCTGAAATTGTTGGTAAAAGTATTTTTCAAGTACAATATAATAATACTTGTTTGTTTGTTAACAGGGACTGGATTGCAATGGAAAACCCCTTTTGGTTCTCCATTTCAGGGTCAAATTCTACCTTGAGAGTCCGCTCCTGCTCAGGTGTGTACCCCACTATAAATACAGAGACAAATATGGCATATAACTCTAATAAATTTCAAACTTAAGCCGTTATTTGAATCTTCCAAAATATGATGCTAAAATATATTTACCCGTATTCTGTGATTTAACTCATTGTAAAGTATGAAGTATTTTTGTCAGTGACTAAAATAACATTTTTGACTTTTCTTCAATAAATAACTTCTTGATCAGCATTGTACGTGTTATTAAATTTACGGAAAGTAAATAAAGATACGTCTTATAACACTTAAAACATATATTTACGCTTCTACTGTTACTCACAAGACGGTAAATATACAAAAGATGGTAAGTGGTGATCGATTTCGATTGGATACTCCAATCATCATCAGACCCAATAGGCGAATCTGTTGTAGAAGCGTAAATATATGTTTTAAGTGTTATAAGACGTATCTTTATTTACTTTCCGTTTTCTTCAATTTCCGAGCTAATTCGAATCTACAATAGTTAAATAATTTGGAAAAGTTGACGCGCAGATGAGCTGAACAGTTTTTTAAAATCATTTGTTTGTAGTAAAGTATTTTGGGATAAAAGTATAAATCATCATTCCAACCAACAAATTATGCATTAAAAGAGATGAGTCATTTATTCAGTAGACATTTAAATTTAGAGACTGACACATCAATTACTAATCTAACGACTAAGCTGTGCTGCATGTAATATAAAGCAATAACAGTGAACAGTGATAACTTTACAGATTGCTTGTAAAAACAGGTATAAGTTTTATCACAGTTTAATTTAAGTTTTTTCAAATATCAGGAATGATTAAAAACTGGCACACTTCTATCTACTACTCGAATAAAATTCCAACTTAACAATTGACATTGCACTAATCAATGTGATGATATATTTTACAGAGACGAGACATCACGCCACCACTACTACCGACAGTTGCGCTACAATGTGGTCGCACGCGGGTTGGTGCACGCATGCGCCTCTGAGGAAGTTCTCTACCTGTTGGCCGGGCTTGCGCTGCAGGCAGACTTTGGCGACTACAGCGCATTGCCACCCCAGTCACTACAGAACTACTTCAAACCCGCGGACTACTTTCCTCAGCAGGTAGGTTGGAGATTTCTCTAGGTAATTTCACTTGAAGGTCTTCTTTGGAGAGTGAGTCGCTCAGTCGGTAGCGCCTCAGACTTCTGACCCAAGACATGTGGTGGGTTCGTATATTGGTACCTGCCACTAATTTATCAGTACATTTCACCCTGTACCGGCTCACCAAGTACTTGTCCGGTGGAATTCTAAGGAAGAGAAAAAGTAAAAATAAAAATTTACATCCTCCACAATGTGAAGGAATTGTTTCCTACCTCAACCAATCTTTATATCTTTAATATTCACCAGGTCTGAGTTAGTACAAAGCTATAAAAATTATTTCACTAGTCCCAGATGTTCATTCCTTGGATTAAAATATCCAGTTGTGTCACCACAAGAAATTCATTTAAATGGTAGAATCTCAACTTCAATCTGTGTTTAGATTGTTCAACCAAAACAATTCATGTAATCAAGAACATCGATATTGTTAGCCTAATTAATAACTTCTTACAGATGGTATCGAGCGGGAGTGAGGCGAGAATTGTACAGACAGCTGCCAGTCTCCACCGAGCGTACCGGGGCCTGTCGCAAGCCGAGGCCGAGAATCAATTTATCCGAGAGGCATCGTCGCGTGACACCTCCCCTCTCACTCACAACTCCCACCTGTATCGTCTAAAGCAGCGCAAGCAGGACGCTGGGCCTGGTAACGTGCTGTTAGCGATCTGCACCCGGGGAATAGAGCTTTATCAGGTAAACCCAGTGGCTAAAATGATTTTTGGTAAAATTGTCAATCTTGCATTCTGTGTAAGTTATCTTTGATTCTTCATTCAGAGTAAATATTTCCTTTCTGTTTTAGAGCTGTAGCCAGTTACGTTTAGGTAGTTGAATTGAGTCGGCGATGTCAATTACTCATTTCTGTAAAATATGCCCTTTTCATCCATGTCAAACTGTACAACAACACATTGTAAAATATTTCACCTTTTTATCCATGCCAAACTGTACAACAACATGTTGTAAAATATATATCATATTTTATATTACTTCAACTACTGTAAAATCAAAAACAAACTGGCCTTAATAATTAGTAGACCATGTAAGGGACTCCTTTAACAGTGTTGTAGATGTTTGTAAAAAACTAAAATTGGTCCATGATGCCTACTTCAGTACAGTCTAAAAAAATGGTAAAATGTAGTTGGAGTAGAAAAATATACAAATTCAAAAGTTAAACATTAGAAATAAGTGTTTACTTCATCCTCCAATTATTTTTTAAGGGAAAACTAAAAAGATTGATGATTTTAAAATAATTTTAAACTTAATTTTCCCTGTTTTCCTTCTTTGATTAACTCTAATTTTTGCCAAATAAAATAATGTAGGCTCATGACTCTTTTACTTATTCTCAGTGTGTCTGCAGTGTACAACATACAATTTTTTACCGTACTTTTTTAGATAATAACTCCCACTAAGTCAAATCGTAACCTGGATTTTTATTGATTATTCTGTCTACAGGAGAATTCTACCAAAGCATTAAGCGGAACTTTTTTATGGAACGACATTGGCAAACTGTGTTTTGATGTAAGTATTATTAGGTAATAAGTTTTGCATATATTTTGTTTAACTGATCACATTTAATTTATGTTAATTAGGAAAAAAACATTCTACCCAAATAATAGAGTGTTCTTTGAAATTATTTTCTCAACTGATTACTTACAGTTGAAAACACAAAAAAGAAATCAGCTTTGACATTTCTATTAACCAAATGTTTCTTCGATTGGCCGCTCAGGTATAATTTTCCTGAAGTAATTCAGTGGCTCTTCAATTAACACATTGAGTTATGATCTGTCTACCGCTGTCCCAGGCGCTGTAGCTCAGTAATTAAACGCTTTGCGAATTTAATTGAGGCTCGGTCCACAATCTTGCTATGTATATTGTGTTTAATTTATGTAAATAAATGTATAGACCGTCACACGGTGTTGTCCTCATTAGTACAATGTTATTCATAACATTTAATCATTAACATTCTTTTTTTATGAGTTGCACGTTTTTTATGAGAACCGGACCTGGAGAGGCAGTTTCTCACACTTTTTATTCCTCGGACCAACTTAAATTAGTCCTCTACATTTTCACAGGCTTTCTGTAACTCCCGGATTTAATTGCAGCTATGAATGGCATTAGCTATGTTGCCTGTGAATTCATTGATAAATCTTGACAATTACTCTAATTCTTGCTACAATAAAGTCCAATTTTGTATGCATTCCCACAACTGTTAAAGAAAAAAAACAATTATAATATTATAATAGTATAGTTTCCTAGTATAGTATAGTAGTTATTATAGTATTCCACCTCAAACCCTGGTCAAATTAATTATTGAGATTATCTTTTAATTATTTTGTAGACACAATCAAAATGCAGAGATGACGGAAATAAAATATTTGACCTTCATCTTACATTTAATAGTTTTAGTAGAGGTAATAATACTTAAATATTGTTTGAGAAAACCGTTGAAAAAATGTAGAACAGTAATGTAGAAACAATAATTAAATTTTGTAATTGTCAATAATGTTAAATTACACTACTATAATAACTATTACCATATTTTAAATTTCTCTGTCTCGATGGCTTGAAAATGGACCAAGCTATCATTTATCATTGGACATTCAAATGTTCCTGTGTAAAGCTGACCCAGCTGATTTAAGTGACCATAATTAAAGTGGTAATCTCAACATTAAACATGCATCCTTCACTCATCTTCCATGAAACACACACTCTGTTTAAGGCTTCTTTAAGCTATTATAATAATTAAAAAATATCCTTCTTTGCATTAAATTACACATCGCAGTCCAACGTACTTTACAAACTTTAAGATGAATATAAATGAGGGGCGAGTGTAGAACGGAATGTATTGACTTGTCTATTTCTGACTAAAATCAGCTGTTTCCTTGGACCATTTATTTCAAGACTAATGATCAAGGTCAGTTAGAATGGTAGAAAATCAATAAAAAACCGTATACCTTTTAACAATAAAATATATTTTTTTTTATTGACTTATATTGATTCTAACAGTTGTTTTAACTTCTAATAATTTGTCACAGCGTAAAAAATTTGAAATTCGAGCCCTAAATTGGCCAACGTCCGGCGAGAAGCTGACCTACTACACTAACAGCGATGAGAAAGCCAAACATCTTCTCGCTCTATGTAGAGAGAGCCACCAATTCAGCATGGCACTTGCACCGAGACTCGGCGACATCCGGCGCAAAGAGGAGGAGGGTATGTTATTAATCCTTTTGTAGTTATTTGTTTTAACTAGGCATCTAGCCCAGAATAGTTCAATTATCGTTCTTCACATTACTTCATCCTAGGCCTACAGGTTGTGGCATTATCACTTTGATAAAATCCATTAGGAAGGATTTGAACCTGGTACCTTGGGGACAAAAGTCCCAGCTCTACCACTTGACCAGCTCGCGCCTCGATCCGTTACAGTCCTTGCCAACATATTAAGCTAAAATTTATTCTTGTTCCTGCTATACTAAATTGTATACTTATTTGATTTCTGGAGATAGTGAATTAATTATTTACCGTCTGAAATTGTAGGAAATTCATACAATGACATATTACTATAATAGGATTTGTAAGGACATAGAAGGTCTTGTTTGATAACTTTGATACTTCTTCCAAAATATATTTTCTACCAACACAATTAAGCTTTTTCTTGTATTGATTCTGTATACTTCAACGATTTCTGCCAAGTGACCCATGTACAGTTATTTATTTTATGTATTTATTTACTTATTACAGGATATGCACATTTTAAAACACCCAGCTGCTTAAAATCCTTAGACATCTCCAACTGTTATTAGTGATCCTAATTAATATTCATTTAATTATAAACTAGTGTCCCTGTTGCTCGAATTCGGGCAATTGCAAAGTATTACAGGCGTTCTTTTAAAACAAATAACAGTCATAATTTCTGATCTTTAAAAGATTCGACTCAAAGATTATGGAAACACTCAAAGATGTACATAACAGATTGATATACCTAATCAACATTTCTTGTAAATATCGTATCATTTTTCAAAAGCTGATCTTGTTTTTTAGTGTTTTCTACAAATAGCTCATTAGGTTGTCCATAATAACGACGATAAATTCTAAAAAAAAACAATATTTATATTTCTTTTCCTTGGTGGTGTGCTATGCCTTTCCTATGTTTCCATAGTTTGCAAATCGGCTCTTTCAATGATTACTAAGAAATGCAGTACAGTGTTAAGTTTTCTTTTTAGTATACCAATTTATCAGTCAGTTTTCTTTTTAGTATACACCAATTTATCCAGGCTCTCTTGTTTTTTCCATTGTAATATTTACGCCAAGCCAAATTCAAATAGTAAATATTTCATTTCAACCAAGTCAGTAAATGTGTATAGCAAAACTGTTAAATTAGCAAACTTATTGACTGTTTACAATTAACATATGTTCTTCTTCTCACATTTAATTTCTGACAACAGCTGGAGTTTCATAACAATTTGTGTTTCCCATGTTAATCTTATGGAGAAATACAAAACTTTAAAGAGCCCCAGGGCCTCACTCTCTAAATATTCCTCTAAAAAGAAAGTTTCCTGCACAACTTCACGTTACGCTCTTTCCAATGACACCAAAAACATGTTGTTAAAATATTATAGACAGACAAGATAAAAGACTATTAGGACTTCACAAAAGATGTGTATTTATTTGACTGTTTACAAATCATAATAATCAATAAACATATGTTAGTTAAACTGTATATGAAATAAGGCAGGCATAGATTAGACATAGATTATTTATTACATTCTCTCCCCCCCAAGAACTAACCATTCAAAATTTAGTTTCTTTTTCCTTTTCATTAGTTTTTTCTTTGGAGCAATAGTAATTTTTGGCCGAGGCTTGCGAAGCCTAACTTTGGCACTCACCAGTTCTTTAGTGATTTTCACTTTGAGCATACGTTTTCTTCTTTGATGTTTGATTTCTTTGAATATTTCAGAATATTTCTTATTCCTCTGGTTATCACTGCTGGACTTGTTGTGGTACTGTGAGATGTCAAAGCTCTCGTCACTGACTAGGCTGACTGAATCGTCTACTAGTGACATTCTCCTCACAGACTCGTCTCTGGATATTTTCATAGGTGACAAGTTGGAATTGTCCTCCACGCTGTCTCTTAGCACCTCCGCCATCTGCTCTTAAAGACACCATTGTGGCATCGTAGGTTCCTGTGAGCGACTACAGTTGTGTTTAAACAAGGCCATCAGACATGGGAACTTGCAGCCACACTGAGCACACTTGTTTGTTTGATTGTCATCGTTATTCTTGTGCTCCTTCCAGCACACACGTTTCTTCTTGTGTCTGTAGAAGGGGGTATTGTCAAACTGCACATCACATCCACCACAAATTTTCAACTCTGAATCGTTCTCCGTTTTCTTCATTTCCCATAGAGGTTTGGCTTTAAGTTTTTTGTCTTCTGTTTTCACATTCTTCCTTTTGCCAGTTACCGCAAAGATCTTTTTCTTGATTTTGACACTGGATTCCAGCATGGCTTCCTTCAAGACTTCAAGTACTTTGGAATTTTCTATCAGCTCATCGTCAACTAGACCTATCTCATTTTCTTTATCAGGCTCTTCCGTTTTCTCTCCAACCACTCGGACTGTCTGGACACTGGTGAGAATGTCAGAATGTTTCTCAGAGTCTTGAATCATATTCTTAGCCTCCAGGGGTTGGCATTCCTTCTTCTCTAACGCTTTTTCTTTTATTGGATCCCTGTTTAAATGTGCTTTTTTGATTTTCATATCTTTGTTTTGAGTCCTTTCCTCTTGGGAGATGTTTTCTGCACCGTAGTTGTCAATCTCAAATGATTCCTCTGCTGTTTTGTACAATTTATCATATTTAAAACATGTCAGAGCAAAGTTGTCATCGATACGTCCTCCACTGTATCCTGGACATTTTCCATGCAACGACCAGCCTAAGTAACTCCAGGATAAAACTGGCGAGTTAGGAGGTCCTTCCACAACTTTCCTTGTCAATATTAGGTTGCAATTATCTTGACCAATCAAGATGGTAGGTTTGGCATGAGATGTTGGTAGAGGTTGGTCGATTGAATTTAAATGAGACCATGTCTCACGAAGCTTTACTGAATCGATCGACTGTTGAGGTAAATCTAAGGGAAATTGAGTTCTTACATTGCTTAATGTGAAAATTTCATCTTCATAGAACCCTTTTATTTTAAGTTCAACTCGTCTGGACGTTGGGTCAAAATGTTTAGTTGCATTTGACCAACAAGTGGTAAGGGGTTCAATGCTACCACTGATGCCTAATTTATCGGCAGTAGTCGAATCTAGCAGAGATATGGTTGAACCGTCATCTAAAAGTGCATATGTGTCGATCTGACAGCTTGGACCATATAACGTTACTGGACATGTTCTTAGTAAAACACGGTTATTTACCGAGTGATTGCTTATAATTTCTTCTTTCGATTGACCTTCCTGCCTGAAAGTGTTCTGTGCTCTGTCCCGGCTGATTTCTTGGGAATTTTTAGAGGCACTGTCAGTATGCAGAAGGCGATGGTGGGATAATTTGCACCCATTGATTCCACAAGGTTTCTTTAACTTACAAAATTTGATGTGGTGACGACGGAAGCAAAAGAAACACAGTTTTTTCTCAATTATCATCTTCCACCGCTGCGCGACTTCTGCTTTTCTGAAAAGCTTACATTTATCGGTTTCGTGACTCTCCGAACAAAACATGCAAACGTTTTCATTGGGCGAATTAGTAAAAACTGGTTTAGGGTCACTTCTCTTCCGCGTTGTCTCCTCGGGTGGACGAAAATAAATACTCATAATGGAACACTGATTTTCAAGCCAGTTACAGAATACTTTCAGGTCAGTAGGTTTTTCTAAATGCATGCTATTTACATGTTCAGCCCACCTGTACTTCAGGGTATAGGGGAGCTTACTTAAAAGTTCATTCAACAAGAGAGGATTTATTAGGTACATTTCCAAATCCAACGACTCTGCGGTAGAGGTCAGGTTTAAAAGAGTTGTTGAAAACTCAATAAGGCTGACAGCGTCATCCTCCTTGACTGGTTGGAGCATGCGCGCCTTCTTCAACATTGACTCGACTATAAACTCTGGACGTCCAAAACGCATTTGTAAAGTTTTCATTACTGTACTCAAATTTTTACCTGATATAAATAGAGGTTTTACCATTTTAAAGGCATCTCCCTCCAGACAATTTCTTATTCTGTCAAGGTTTTCATCGTCATTAAAAAGGTGTTTAGTCTTATTGTAACAGGAATAGAACATGGGCCACTCGTCTGGTTTCCCGCTGAAGGATGGAAGACGCTGTCGGCAAGAGACAGGTTGGTTGGGGTTAGATAAATTGATAGCTTTTGAAAAGGAGTCTGCTAGTTTATCAATAGCCGTGGACACGATGGCTGATGATGTCAAAGGAACTGACGGTTCCTCATTCAGCCACCTATTGACTTTGACATTAGAGTCCTCCTCAACAGTAGCAATATTGAAGCTTACCTTGTTAGGGTCTTCATTATCTTCCAATTCCAAATGACGACTGCCCAAGACTGAGGCGGACTGACTACTTCCCAAGACCGAAGCAGACTCAAGTTCGGTCCTTACTCTCAGCAGACGCTTCTGTCGTTCTAGTTCTCTTGCTTCAGCTTGACGTTGTCGTTCCATTGCCCTCTCCTCTCTTTGCCTTTGTTGCTCCATCTCTTGTCTCTGTCGCTCCATCTCCTTTTCTTCAAATTCTTTCAGCCGTTGCAACTCCCTTTCTTCGTGTATTTTCTCAAGCCTGTTTATTTCTTCTATTTCTTCTAGTTGCAGTTGAACTAACCGGCGCTTGCTGGAAGTTGAAGATTTGGTTTTTGACTTAGAAGGTGGTTTTAGAGATTGACTATCTCCTTCTTTGGGTTCATCATTCTTGTCATTTGCATTTTCTGGGGAATATCTATTTGGAGGGTGTTTCTCTCTCCCTGACTTTCGGATTGACATATTTTTTGACATGATTTATAAGTCGGGTTTCGGCACCAATGTTAAAATATTATAGACAGACAAGATAAAAGACTATTAGGACTTCACAAAAGATGTGTATTTATTTGACTGTTTACAAATCATAATAATCAATAAACATATGTTAGTTAAACTGTATATGAAATAAGGCAGGCATAGATTAGACATAGATTATTTATTACACATGTCATTCGGTTCAGTAGTTTCGGAGGAGTAATTGTCACAAAAAACCTGCTTGCGTATTAAATAAGTATAGAATAGATATAGATTTTAAATACTCCTCTAAAAACACTACTTCATAGGTACTTAAGTACTTTTAAAAGCAACCTAGGAAGTAACTCGACGTAAACTTTGGTAAGCTGGATTTTTTATTCAAACTGATCAGGAATGTTTTACGTAGAACGCAAGAGGTACCGAGACTGGGGTTTGGGGAACGGTGTCGTTTGTCACCGAGGAGATCAGAGGATCTCGGTGATATCCTCGACATCGAGTAACACCACGAGCGGCATCGTGTCTGACCGAGTACACAGCCTTGATGAGAGCGAAGGTTTGTTTTTCATAATATCCTTTAGCTTTGGTAAAAATCTTACCTCAGCTTCTTGACCCAACTTTGGCTTAAAGTACACAACAGTCTACAAAATATTTTTTTTTAATTAAAGCAAAAGCTACTTGTCTAATTTACAAGTTGTTTTAGACAGGGATTGAGTTCAGTTAGAAATGAAGGCTTAAGAATACACTATCCATAATTATTTTGTCCCAGTTTGTACTGACCTGAATAAGTTACACTAGGGAAAACAACAGATGCTTTTTCCTGGCGAACATTTTTATCTTCTTGTGACTGTTTAAAGTAAAACATCGTTATCACATCAAATGTATATGCCATAGATCTTAAGAATGTGAATTTACACTTTTTAAAGATAATCAGCTAGATAAACTCAAATTTTTGACAAAACTTATTGACGTTTAGTTAAGTAAGTTTAGTCAATATTGTTTACATATCTAACTAAAAATGGATGATCCTGCCAGCAGATGACCTGGAGATGGAGATTATGATCAATACTCCACCGGCTCCCTCGATAGAGTCTCTGGCCTTGGCACATCTCCAGGATAGCGTCACGCCTCCCTCTCCACGACCATCCCTCAAGAACCAAGGTAAATAGGCTATTAGTAATACTCTATTTTCCCGCAGAGAAGTAATAATAATGTTTTTTAATAGATCGTGAAAATGCCGGAGACTTGTGAACGGCGATAAGAGGAATTTTGCTTGAAATAAGACTGTGCCAGTTCCCTTTTAAACAAAACAAGCATAGAGCGCATTTTTTTGGAGAACTCGGCCTACACAAAATCTTTCTTACACTCTGGTCTTCAAACAAACCTCTTCATTCTGCCCTCAGAGTTGTTGTCAGTTCAAACACCAATATGGACATAGTTGTATTGAGCCACCGGTGGGTGTTAATCCCGATTTTAGTCGAATGTGCCATAAGTCAAACTTATGGGATGACTAATTGTAAGCTATAGTGACTTTGTCATATATCTCAAACTCAGTAACAAAAAATTAGACTAATTAAAACAATAACAGAATTATTGACAATGCACTCTGTGAGTACAGTAGAACCCCTGTTGTAAGTTGTACCCTACATGACTGACTTTACCACAGGAGCAGACTATGTTGATGGCAATGGCGGGGCCAAACCTAGCGCAGGAGGGGCTGGTACCCCCGCCACTACAGACGGCAGCCAGTGTTCCTCCTCCTGCTCCACCGTCGTGGTTGCAGGCACCACCTCCGAACCTATCACTGTGAGTACCAGGCTTTACGTTATAACTTCAATTGAAAGCGACGTACTTTGTGTACGTATTTTAATTTGAATGAGTGAAGGACGAAAGCATAATACAGTGGGATAACCTGTATCTTTGTTACTGCCTATGATCAGCTGTTTCTGTAGACAAATACATTTATTAAAAGTTGAATGATCAAGAACAGCCGAGCTTTAGACTCAAACTTTGCTATTGACTTTTCTGAGGATCGAATTGGGGGCCATCAGCAAGCACTATATCCACCACTCGCCTACCCAATTATATACTTTACTTGTGTTTTCAGTTTTCACAATCTTAACCTTATGTGCAGGTTTGTTTTGACCCAAAATTAGTGTTTTAAACTATATTTCAAGGCTTATGATACTGTTTCCCCCTGCAAACTAGATTCGTGTTCACCATCAAATAAGCACAGAAAGTTTGTTGCTATCTTAATAATATAAAACCGAATGATCATTGAAAACGAAATCAAACCTCATTATTCCTAAAAAAACAGCCAAGACAAATTTGCAAAAGTTCTCGTTCAATTTGTGCTCACCACATTTGATCCTGCTACTTTCTAGTGAATGTTATGTTTGAATTTGTTGTCTAACAGAGAGAAGGGAAACGCTTGGTTACCAATAGAAGACAAGCCAGTACCAGCTCGAGTCTAGAACTCGGATACTCTCATACAGCTCAGAACTCGGCTCTCAGTGACACCAGCGTGAGTCTGGAACTCGACTACAGGTAACTTAAATGACTCCATTTTTATTTTATTATAATAGACAAAGATTTGCCTGCTTCCAATCTTCATTATGAATTTAACCATTGGTGCAGCAAGGTGCAAAACAAAAGACATAAGTTTAAACAATTTATCAAATTTCTCTTTCAGAAAAAAAGACTATATCCTTTACAATTTCTCTCAAAATTCCCTCCCATTACTTAAAGCTTGAGTTTTTCCACATACTTTTGTGTAACCATGTAACTGTATTGTGTAGCGTACAGTCCGCCCACACCAGCAGTGGAGTGTACACTCTACGCAGCAGCACCGCAGCCACGGGTCACACCATGGCGTGCTCCAGTCAGACTTCTGGGATTGTACTTGACCAGAGTGAAGGTAAGCTTTTATGCTTTCATGTAATTCAGCTTTGATTTGCTATCAGATTGCGAAGGCAAAACAAATAAAAGACAGCTAAACTTTTCAGCATCCTTTAAATTGAATATTCAGTGACTTTTTCTAAAAAAGTTTGTGCTGTTGCAGGTCGTCACTCCCGCAGTGGATCGCTCGTCAGTGCGACAGGAAGTTTCCACGGAGATGGAAGTGACCCGTCGGATGCTGGCCGAGGAACTCTCTTATCAGCCGAGGAGTTGTCCGATCTGATTGTCGGTAGAAGTCCTAAGCCACGGAGAGGAATATACCCGTCTCGGGCTACAGTCAGTTCCACGTTAGATTCTGATTCCGACTACGTGACGTTACCCCCTCCTCCACTTCCACCCCCTAGATCTGACTCAGAAAAACCGTCTTCCACTTACGCTATTCTAGAACTCGCTTCAGCGTTGTCTTCACCAGAAGAAACTCTAACAAGTCCTCTGAGGTTGGACGATTCTTTATCGAATTTGAGTTTGTCTTCCAGAAAGTCTATGGAGGAGTCTATTTTGCAACAGCAAATTCAGTTCCAGCATTTGAATTCGAGATTTTCTCCTCAAAAGCAAACAATTCAGCATTTTTCATCGAGCTCTACACCTCTCAGCCATACGGCGCCAAAAACTGTTGTTTCTACCTCAAGCACTGCGGTGCAAACAACAGATTTGCCTGAGTATTTATCTCAACCACTCTCTATTCAACCGTCCAAACAGTTCCAGAACTCCTTCAATATGCAAAGCCAAACTTCTCCAAAATCCCCGAATGGTTTCAGCCCCGTTCCGAATCTTCCCTCTCCGACAGAAGAGGCCAATGTGAGATTCATCAGCACAAAACCGCACATAAACATCTTAACTGCTCATGCGAGCTTGGTCGCTTCAACGGCCGCTCCGAGTTTTGCCGCACCGACCCTAGCCTATCAGACATCTGTCCCCACCTATACCTCCTCTCAAAGAAACTACCTCCCTGAAACTAGAAGTTACCCACTGGATCCGGCATCGAGGATGAAGATCAAACATCCCCAAAACACTCAAAATCTTATCCCTATCGTCGGGAGCAACAACTATCTGGATGTAAGAGGAAGTGGGGCAGCTTTCCTTCAACATTTCCATCAAAAATTCCCCCCACCTCCACCAGTTCTGCACCCTCGGCAGCCCCCCCCACCCCCTCCACCTCCACCACCCAGGACTGCGCTACAGACAGTCTACACCAGCCAGGTTACCCGTAGTCAGATTGAGCAGTTCAAACAACAGTTGTACTCTGACGTCGACTATGTTATCTATCCCATGCAAGATCCAGCCATCAGTAAACAAGAGTATATGGACTCCAAGATGGCTTTGAACCACTACAACCAGGTTTATCCACCTCCACCTTACCCCTCGTACTCCGGCAAGTCTCACATGGTCTACAGAAGTACACCTAATGTGGCTGTTGCCAGTGGCTACATCCCAGTGTCATTCAAAAACCCAACAATACCTTCTCAAGTCAAATACGCTTCAAACACAAATCTGTCATCAGATTTTGCTGCCTACCCCGGTTCTTCATTCTCTTTCCTGAGCCACTATCCTTCATCGACTTCACCCCTGTACTCTGCAGCTGCTTCTTACTCTTCATCGTCCACACAAAGTTTACGCTACGACCCCTTTGCGCTACAAATAGGAGTGCCTAAGTTGATTTCTCCTATCGTCAACACTGGAGGATTCACCAGAACTCAGTCTGATGACAACATTTTGAATTCGTCCTATGAGAAACCAACGATTGAGCGAATTAGGATGAGGCGACCACCCCCACCGATACCATCAGCTTTTGATCTTCAGGTACGGTTTCATTTAGTTAATTCACTGTTTACAATAATAAATTAGCCTACTCTCTAACAAGCATATTAAAAATAATTGCTGCTGAAGATTGTTATTAAACTGGAAGCTCCAGGATAGCTAATCCAACTTATCCGAATGTTTCTTTTGAAGTTCCAAATTTCCTAAATAATATATGAAAACGCTAGTAAATTTAATATAGTTACTACATCATCATATTCTATTTTAAAACTACTCATCTTCTCAAGTTTACAGAATCAATAAAACTCAACCTTTTTTCTTTTCACAGAAAGAATCAGATGTACAGAAGAAGCAGCCTCCCACACCGACTGTGCCCGCTACACACGCAGCACCCTCTGTCCCTCCAGTGCCTTTGGGGACAAAGACTTCTGGAGAAGAGAAGAAGAACACATCAGAGAAGGCCACGGCAGACGGACTGCTGGACATCCGCACACTTCGAGAGAAGAGCCGGAACATGGACCTGCCTCTGATATCTGCCCTGTGTAACGACCGCTCCCTACTGAAACAAACAAACGCGTTTGTCATGCCGCGACATCCCGGTGAGAAGAAGAGTGAAGGACGACCAGTTAGCTGGCACGTAGAGTCTAAGAAATCCCCAGAAGGTAAATCAGCACCTGTAGCCCTGGACGAAGGGACGCCTAAAAAGTCTCTTTTGTCATCGTTACTGTCGTCCAAATCCGTTAGCGAATCGACCTCGCCCAAACACTCTTATTCGACAGCGCCCAAAGTGAAATACCCTGTGTCTGGACTGTCGACAACGCAAATTGTCAAACCCGTGAGGAAAGGTACCAGCAGACACACCCATCCGGACAATAAAGTCGCTAAAGTCGGACGTAGCAAAAGCACGAGCAGCGCGACCACGAGCAGTGCCAATGTTAAAGAAACAATTTTACCTCAATGACAAACATGATGTGTATATTTAAAGTTTAGTTAGCTCTAAGTCCCGAGTATCCATAGAGATTCAGCCATGACATGATACTCAATTTTACATAAGGGAAATGCAATATCTTGAGTTCTTTTCTGTGATTTGTTGATTTGTTTCTATAATTTTTATCGTTGTTTTCAAAATGATCTGTGTTATATAATCCTTTTAAAGACTTAGTGTAGTTTGATTTAGTGAAGCGTTTGGATCCCAAGTACAACACTATTGCTCAATATTAGTTCTTTGTATATTTATTATTTTACGAAATAGTCATTTTGAAATCTCTTTTATATAATTTGTTAGTCCTCAACTGGGAATTGCTTACTTCTTGCTTACCCTATTACATAATTACAATTAGTTTGTTGAAATGTTGTAATTTACACCTAACAAAATATTGTTGTTATCACCCTGAGGTACAGCCAGTATCTTTTCACCAAATATATGAATTTGTATTGACCCTTTAAGGCTAATTATGTCTATAGTTTAACCATCAATAAAATAAGTACCGGTACACAATACCTACCATATTTTTATCAATTAGGTAGTTCCATTTACCATAACAAATTGTTCAAACTCTTGGTATTTGCACACTTCCCTTATTTAAAAATTGATTATCATAATTTGGTCTCTATGGTTGTACTTTCATAAATAAATCTTTATTGTATAATCTACTGTCATTATTATGAAACAATAATTATTGTTATAATGAAATTTATAAACAGTCATGGCGACCTATATGTTTAAGATATAAATTTTGACTTTTAGTCTTGATTCTGGCTCTTATGAACTTAAGAAAATTTCAAAAAAACATTTAATGTTATTGTTGTGTTCAGTCTTGTTTTTTACAGTATTACTATAGCCTCCTCTAATACAAGGCCTTGGCAAGACAAAAGTGGCCTCGGCCTACCTAAACAGATGTTGCACTAATTCATAACGGAGCTTCTCCACAATGTGTATGTTTACACTTTTGTTATTACTGTTATCAACATAGCAAAAAGCTGGTTGTTGCGACGTTGCCACACACTAACATGGAGGCCTTGTATCACAGGAAGCTATGTATACATATCAATGGTTGGAATAATAAAAAAATTAAATTATGAAACATTATACCATAGACAAAAAGAATTAAATATAGACAATCAGCTGTGCTGCGGTTACCATAGGTTCTGGGGCACACTGCTGGGAGCGCCATGTAGTTACAGCCTATGTGCTATGTAACTACAAGGCGCTCGCAGCAGTGTGCGCCAGAACCTATGGTAACCATGGTAACCACAGCACAGCTGACAGTCTATTTAAATCTTTTTGTCTATGATTATACACAAGTTATTCATATTATACTTAAGTATTTTTTTTTCACATTAAAAAATCCCTTCTTTCATAGATAATTTGAAATAGATCCCAATGAATTCTCACCACACAACAATTCATGCTGGTTGGGATATTTGTTTTTATTTATAATTTTAATGTTACACATTATTTAACAATGTCAAAGGTATTTGATTTGTAAGTAAAGTTTCTTGTCTCATGCACAAAATCCCTATATTATTCAGTGAAAGACCTCTTAACACAAAAACGTTCCTATGTAGTTACAAGATGTAGTCAAAATCAATTATATTATGTATGATTATAGGACACCCATTAAAATTCTGTCAAATAATGTTTTTGTGTTTTGTTGTCTTTGAATTATAAACATTTTTATTAAATACAAGCTTTCCTAAAAAAACTAAACTGATTTTAGTTTTTAAGTCCATTTGGACAAACTTTTGATTTCAATAATTAAATTACAACTTAAAGAAATGATTTTGCATTTTTGGATTTTACAAAATTAAAACCAGATTTTTACCAAATTTGTTAAAATCATGGTTAATTACCGTAATTTAACTTGTTCTTTGTGAAAATATTGCATTAGGTCGCCATGACAATACAATAAATCTTGTACATTTAAATTTATATGTAAAGGATTAACGTCAATGTGAAGTATTAGTTAAGTATTTACCCAATAAATAAATCAGTTTATGGTGCTACTTTAAGACATTTTTTTATCTAACACATTTGGTTACTGCAAACAGGTTTAAATGATGTAAACTGTTTTCTACTCTAAAGTTTCATCCAGATTTTCAGTTTTTGATTTTTGATTTTAAATCTTTTACAACACTAGGTGCTCTAAAATAAAAAAGCTAGTTCAGCAGTGCAACTAGGCCTCCAAGACAATGATGTCATAGGCTCGTATTCTGTATTTAAAAATTTAAAACTTATCATTAGAATCTTTCTTGTACTGTTCCTATGCTTTGGTACGTTTGTCAATACGTAGGTACGTACGTATGTAATAGTACGTACGGGGTTTTGAGGACGGAAAGATGTGAGGCCAGCTCTTTAAAAAACACTCATATTTTAAACATATTTAACAGTTTTAAGGTAAAAGGAAGTTTAATGTCTCAACTTATTTTAATTTGTCCTAAAAATAATTTATAATAACCTGATTTATAAGAAGACAGCCAATATAAGGTTAAAAAATTGTCTAACCGTTTGTTGAAAAATTTACTGTTACAAAAAGGATATGTAGCATAACCCATACGTACAAATAAATAAAGGCCAATTTTAGTTTCTTGATTCATAAGTTAAAGGGGTTTTAAAATCCAAGACAAAGTAGTCCAAAGAAAATGTTCTTGTGTCACAAATCTTGATGAAATAGCACTATTTTTTACTTTGAAGAACTAAAAAAAAACATTTTACTTCATCGCAACCTGTTTGATAAACTTAAAAAAGACAATTCATAGTATTAACTCAGGGTGCCATTCAACAATTATTTGTTTTGTTATGTTTTCATAACTCTTTAAGTTTGATTTTAATGTGTTGGTAGAAACAAAATATTTAACATTCCATTTTTTTATTTGTTCTGATTAACAGTTTATGTATTTTATAAACACTTATTACAATGCTCAATTATTGTTAAGCAGAATTCCGTTGTCATTTTATAGGTTAAGCCTTGTTTCTTGTTGATTTGTTTTGTCTTTGTTAATCTGTTTACATTTTTTCTCTTTAAATCGACTGTAAATAGTTGGAAATCATTTGTTACACGTGATTCTCCCAAAAGTATGGAACATAACAAAAATCTTTATCAAGGGTTTTCCTAAAAAGTTCCAGTTCTTAAAATTTGTATTTGATACAACAAATATCTAGAATCTTTTAAATTCATCAGTTGGGTCATTACAAATTTCCAAATGTTAAAACTCCTTAAAAAGCTCAGTAACAAATTCTTGTTTATATATTTTAAAACACACACAACTCAACAAATGTACTACTGTACTCCTAAATGCAACTGAATGGTTATTGTTTTGTTCTTAAAGACTGTAGTAGGTAAGCATCTCCTAATAGAAATGATTTTTCTAAAGCCAATATGAGTTAATCCCATATTCAAATAATTCAATCTCCTAAACATATAAATTTTGTTACCGTTCGTATAAATATAACAACATAAGCCAGCTGATGTTACCCAACTAGTTAAACAAACTTTCTACTTAGCGTAAAATCTTTTTTTTATCATTGTTATGGTTTAAAAGTATTATTTATTTCCAGAGCTATGGTTTAATTATGTATTTCTAATCTCTAGCCGAACAATACTATTTACCCATGCACTCACTGGATTCCGTTAACTTTAACTTGGCATTCTCTCCTGACTAATTGTACACTTTCAAAACTGGAGATTATGTTGATTTTAAGTTAATCTAAATACTAACTTATTACTAAAACTACTGCGGGTTTGAAAAAGGCTTCAGGGAGGTCACAAGTTAGAAAAGATTATTTAATGGTAACACAATTTAGAAGATATCTGCATAGTTTTATACGAACAATGTAAATAGATAACAAATTCCATGTCTACATCAGTAAATAAAATACAGTTACAGTAATTGTTTGGTTATTACCTTGTGTGTCTGTTTCAGTGGCAAGAATTCAATTTCAAACCAAATCCAATGCTTATTAAACTTTGGAAGTAAAATTTTCAAATTTAATAATACAAGTATTATGTCAAATATCTAAAAGAAAAGCAAGATAAAACATCAACCTATGTAGGCTTCAATGTTCTTAGGAATCAGTTTTCACACTCAACTTTGTCCCTAGTTTGGTTTCGAGTTTTGTGCTCAGTTTTGTTCCAAGTTTTTCACTCTGTTTTGTATCAAGTTTTGTTCCAAGTTTTTCACTCTGTTTTGTTTCAAGTTTTGTTCCAAGTTTTTCACTTGGTTTTGTATCGAGTTTTGTGCTCAGTTTTGTATTGAGTTTTGTGTCAAGTTTAGTACTTAATCTCGTTGATGGTCTACTTCCTCTGGAAAGTCTACTTTGTCCTGTAACTGCACTTATCTTTGGATCTTCATTCTCCTCTTCTGAAGAATCATCCAGCAGATTTACTGGATGACTTGGAATCTTTACCTAAAAAAATATTGCTATTGTTTTTTTTTACAGACAAAATTAAATTTACTCTTTTAAAATATCAAAATGTAGTACTGTATGTCGTTTAGTTGTGCGTAGTCACTGGCCACATGGAATGTAATGCGGGATACTTTGAAACTTGTATTCAGATCCAATGACTGGGTCATAGCTGAGTTAACTTGTTGCTGTTGGTTGTGACCCGGTTTGGAGGCTTCTTTAAGCAGTAGGGCGACTTATAGGGTAAAAAAAGTTAGTCAAATGGACTGTTTCTGTATCAGAAACCACCCTTCGTATGAAGCCAAATTAATTTTTTTTTTTATTTCTCACTAAACACTTAGTGCAGTCATAGTACACAAGAAGTTATTTTTTTCAATTCAGATTAGGAAAAAAGTTAATTTAGTGATTTCAGGAAAAAATGGTTACCTAACATTAAACATGAGCTATACTATAGTTGCTCAGCGAGTGCAATCAAAATTCTTGTTTCATCAACAGTACTTATAGCGAAGGTAATATGAAGGAAATTGATATTCAAATTTATGTGAGCCATCAATGGTTCACCCTTGAGTCTGCCTGTGTGTGTGTTTGTGAGAGTAGGGCCAACAACACTGAGTAATCAAAGTATAGGTGTTGTTTGTTTAAAGAGGTTTCTGGCCTATTTTAACCTTGTATTTGCCCATCTACATAGGCTATGGACCTGTGCGTGGAATGTATCGAGCAATGCAAGGGGTGAGCCGGTACATTACAAGGGTGAACTGTACTGATTGAAGGTAGTGGCAGTGACCAGAATCCGAATCCACATCGCTGCCTTGAGCCCGAACTATGCTACCGACTGAGCCAACGACTCACCACTGCAAGTAGTTGTCTTGTAGTTTACTACTACAGTAGATGTTATTCTAATTCTTTGTCTTGAATATGAGACGTGAATTTGACACAAGTTGTAAACAGGTTACACCTGACTTTGAACATGTAATATCATAAAACAATAATTATAGTAACAAAAGAAAATTATAATATAAGAGGTAAAAACCTGAGTCATGAAAGGTATGTCGAGATTGCGAAGGCCTTGGCCTACGTAGATGAAGCCATGGTCTGGACTATTCAGGTAGTGGAAGAACATCAACCCCGGCCAGTGCAGGCTACGCAGGATGATAGATCTATCACCCTCTACCAACTGGGCGGACCAGCAGTCTAAACACAACAATTACCTTAAAAAAACCACTGATTTATTTTTTTTTCCTAAAGGAAAACATTAACACTAGTGATTTTACAGTTGAAAGATAAATTTTCTTTATTATCTCTCTCTCTATTTACCAAGCTACTATCATGACTACAACAATCAAACTATCACTGGCTTTATATCCGAGTAAGTAGCATTTAGATAATTTGAAATAGGACCCAGCTGTCCTTCACTGGGCTTTTAATAAATGGTCCTACCTTAATGTAGATAAAACACTCAAAGAATGACAAAGTGGTCAGTGAAATTTCTCTTCACACTACTTAACAAACCAAACAGCATATAAAATGTACTGCTTAACATTACATCACAGTAGAACATTGAATACAAAAGCTAAATACTACTTTGAAAGCTTCATCAATTCAGTTTATCTGTAAAAACTAACTTGTAAAAACAGGACCCATCTTTTATTTTTTGCTACAGTATACTGGTAGTCTTTAAAAAATCCTGCCTAAAGAAAACAGGAAGATAACCAAGTCAACAAAGTTATCATTCTTAAAATTCCAAAATACACAAGGCATCTCACTCCCCTCCAGTTCTTGGGTAAAAATAAAAATAAATTTTAATTCCACTATGGATTATCAATATGGTATATCACACCTGCTGGCAAATCTTTGTCAATAGTATCGAGGAAATCGAGTGCATAGTTGTAATCACATCTTATCATCAGATTTGTATTGTAATCGTGCCGAGGAGCTCGATAGTGTTGAAAACTGCACATGGAGTCAGCGTCTTCAAGTTTTATCCCCTCAAAAGCCCTACTGTGGACACAGGTTCCGTCTGTTTGCTTAAACAGTCCTCCCCTCGGAACAATAGCAGCCTCGTCTGAGATCAATTGGACTGTTGCTGCTAATCGATCCTCCTCTTTCAGTTCGCTGCTGGTTGTTGTGGTCTAAACAGGCAAAACACAAAAGAAAAGTATTATCATATGACATCATTATTACTATTTATGAGATGGGTGAAACTAAAGGCACTTTTTAACTGACTAGTGACTGTTGACTGTATGGTTCCAGTTCGCACCGGAAAACGCTGCATGCAGCGAACCAGGCGCGTGAACGA